TTGCAGCCTCAATGATATCAAGAGGTTGAACTACCCATTCAATTAAATTATCCTCAGTTTGCTTCTTTATATCAGGGAGAAGATATTCACCTAAAACGGAAATAAAATATTCCTGTATTCTAGATTAGAGCTTTGTCTTTCACTTGTTTCTCATTCCCTCTGAGTCCATTTAGCTTAGAGGAGGAGGCCTAAAAATGTTATCAGGCTCTGAATATCAGCTTTCAATTTGAACAACTTCTAACCACTGAGATGCTTAAAATATCATTTGAAATATCTTGCCAGAAAAAAAAAAAATCATCATTTTTAGCCAGGACTAGTTTCAGCCATTTACAAACAGTAAATGTTCCTGGAAGTATGAACCACTGACCTGTAAAACCAAGAGGCGTCCCCAAAGAGGGTGGAGAAGATATTACCCTCCCAAGATCCAAAGCCACCCCCAAAGATAACCAGAAGAAAGAGACATTTTTTTTTCTGTTTAAGGGAATAATGTAGCAGTTTATCACAAAATCTCTCATGGTTCTGTTAACGCTATGAAGGGTTCTTATGGGGGTCCTCCTTCCAGAGTATATACCGAGGTATCTGTAAGGCCACTAATTTGGTAGACTTTTGTTTATGTTCCTGCTGTCTCTTAATAGTGGAAAGACAATTCAGACAGAGGATTAGTAGACTGAGTACTCAGATAACAAAAGGCAGGGGGGTGGGGGGGTAGATAGGAGGCAATAGGAGTTACCTCTGTTTGATGATCTTGTTTTTTGTTTTAATATATTTTTAATTTGGCATTAGGCTTTTTAGCAAATATGTCAATGAAGCTATTTTGGAATTTTGAAACTTTTTGGAGACTTATGCATACCAATTAAAATTGATACCCCATTGTATTTATTTGTTTTGGGAACTCTTGCTTTCAAATGCACTTCTAAAATGAACAATCTTGTCTAATTGGAATGTTCCCTGTTGGGGTTTGGCACCAATGCCCAAGAAAGAGTTGGTGACATGTCTTTGTTGCAAAAAGGTGGTTTTATTAAAGCACGGGGACAGGAACAGTGGCCAGAAGAAGCTGCCCAGAGATTGTGAGGAGTAATTGATTATATACTTGGGAATTGGGGGAAGTAAAGGCAAGGGGAAGTTTAGAGGATTTTCCATATGCTAAAGAAGACTCTCAGGATCCTGGAAACCTAACTGTTGTCAAGCTAAGGTTGTTTTTCCCTCTTGTAAAGCATTCATATTAAGACAGTTGGGAGTTCCTGGAGGAATGCTGTACTCTGCGTGCCTCAAATACTTGTCAATGGGCTGCAGGTTATAAGGGAATTTAATTTTGTCATTTCTTTCTGCCTTTGTTTCCCACATCATTCCCCATAATGGCCGCTGTAATTCTAGATTGCCTTTAGTAAAATTTTTCCATTTTTGTAGGTATGTACAGCTTCTGAGACCCACATTACTTAGCCATAAAATAAGCAGGTGTGCCAGAAGGTGGCACTCTCAAATCTTTGGAATGTAAGGATCCTATTTCTTTTAGGTACTCCTTTGGTGTCCCAGAGCAAAATTAGTAATACCTAACAGAGATGTGTCACTGGCTTGAGGATTATGTGCATTTTACAGTGTTCCTCATTACCTGGAAATTTTCTTGAGGTTGCATGTGACCTAGTGTCAGTCTAACCCATTCTGTAGCCACCTAATCCTAACATGAAAGTCTTAGAGTTAGGTGGCAAGTGCTTTAACAGCTTTTAAGTGTTCCACCCGTGTAATCCACCAATTTTGTAGCTTTGGCTTCCACGATTCTCATTAGCAATGGCCTTTACCTTATGTGCCTATTAACAGAAATCAACAGTAGCCTGGACAAGAGATGGCATTTTGTGCCCCGCTAACAGTTTCCAATGTGGAACTGAGTACTGAGGAGAGGACCCAACAAATGGGGACTGCAAACTGGGATTCCAATCAAGTGAAAAACTGCAGAATGAAGTACCAGGAGTTCCCAATATGGCGTCTGGGGACTGAACCAAAGTCTAGGGGCTGAGGTTCTGGTAAAACTGTTACCTTAAGCTGACCTGCCCTGGACTAGAAAGACAATTATGATTATTATAATTATGATTATTTATTTTAGAGAGAGAGAGAGAAAGAGGGACGAAGGAGTGGGGGGGGAGGTTATCCTGAGCAGGCTCCACACTCAATCCCTCAATACCTCAATCCCCTCAATCCCATAACTCTGGGAGCATGATCTGAGCCAGAATCAAAAGTCAGATGCTCAACTGCCTGAGCGACCTAGGTGTCCCTAGAAAGCCGATTAGACCAAGAGTTCAATGCAAAGAGAGCAGAACTCAGAACTCAGAGGAACTTACCTGTGGCCCTAAGAAATGGCAAGAAAAATAATTCAAAGGATTCATGAGTAATTGTGCCTGTGTTTCTTGTTGTCCCCTCAAATACACACATTTCCTTTGAATTCCATCACTGCCACCAAAACAGTTAAACCAAAATTCAACTCCATCATTTCTAAAGATCTTATTGCCTTTATTCGGTGATTCATGAATTGGGGAGCGTTCCATCTAGCAGAAAGGGGTTCTAAGAAGCCATAAAAATTAGACACTGTTATAGACCAAAGGGAATAGGACAAAGATATTATATTAGAAAAAGGCAGGTTGGTTGTGACAAGGTCACTTTCCTTCAGGGAATAAAGGGAACTATCAGACAGATGGATGACCTTACTAGTGTTGACCAGGTGATTCCTTATTGACTGGTTTAAGATTCTGTTTTCCTGGAGTGGCCAAACTGTAATTAAGTTAAATCCTGGTTTGTCAATATGAGGCTTAACATAAGTAACCCCATTTGGTGCCTTTGTCTTATTTTTAATACACTACAATTAAGCTAAGGTGTAGGTATACCACCCTCATTTCCTTCGGTGAAGGGTGTGTGTGTGTGTGTGTGTGTGTGTGTGTGTGTACATGTAAGTAATACCAGGACAACTCATTCCAAAGAAGTCCTTCTCACAACATCTTTTGTCCCTCTTAACTCTCTTGGCCCTTTTGTGCCCTCACAGTGTGTTCAAGAATCACAGTGTATAATTGACTTTTGACAAAATTCTTTGTAAAATCTGCATGTGATTTAGTGTCTGCTTTGGAATTTGGCATCTATCAGATCTTAGTACTTCAAAGAAAGCTTGCTTTTTAGTTGGTTATTACACCATCAATGTGGGTAACACCATTAGATTTTTGCAATCCACTATCAAAAGCTGCTCTTTCTTATATCTTATATTCAAACAAAGGAAAATGTACACATATGTGCACAAGCATATGTATATGTGCATATATGTTATATGTACCACGTAGTCGTCATATTTAAAAGAAACAGAAAATACAAATAGATAATAAAAACCCATAAAAGATGAAATGAAATCCATACAAAATTCATCTCCCAGGAAAATCTACCCTATACAGTTTATTTTGCCTCCATGTACAACTAAAAATATGTACAAAAGTAGACTCCCTAATCATCCTTTTTCCTGTGTTCTCTGCCTCTACTCACCTTGCTTTATACATTGTGGTCATCATTCCCTGTCAACAAATACAAGTAATTTTATTTTAATTTTAAGGGCAGCATGTGTTCTAATCATGAATGTATTAATTTTTCTTAACATGACCCTCTGTTATTGAATATTTGGGTAGGATGTTTGTTTCTATGTAAACTATACTATGAACAAATTATATGTGTATCATTTATGTTTATTTCCTTAGAAAGGTATACCTTTTTCATTAACCAAATAAAATTCCCTCTTTGGGTGTTCATTTGCATTTCAATAGGTATTAAGCCTTAAGCCAAAAGTATACATTTCTAAAATAGAAATTCAAGTATCAGTTAATGAGAAAGGGATATATTTGGGGGGACATAATATCTCTTTCTGTTCCTTGAAAAATCTTAGTAATTAGATAAATTGTCTGTTACTGCCTACACATAAATCTGAGTCAAATTATTTATGTTATTTATATGATAAGCCCTCCTTATTAATATTTTGGCAGTTTGGTTAGTAATCTCATCTAGCAGTCTCTCTCCGTGTTACATTAGTTCATTCTTTTGGATTGTTCCAAAAATCTTCTGCCAGAGGATTATGAAATAAACAAGTAAAGAGGAGAAACAAAATGGAAGGTGATGCATCATTATTTTTTTTTCTCAAAGTCCAATACAAGTTGATGGAAAGCACAGGCTTTTAAAAATATATATTGCAGGTGTTTCATCATTTCGTCTTTCCTAATTGTGAGGATACTTGGCAAATTTTAGAGAAATACAACAGTGATACAGAACTCACATGCTTTTTTTTTTCTTCTGGAATTGTACATTATAAGTAACTTGCACAAAAAATGCATTATGAATGTAGACAACTTTAAAATATGGTGACTGCACAAGGATGTCAATTATACTCTGGAATAAAACTCTTATCTAAGTAACATTTAGTTTCTCTTAGTTACCTGCACTTTTGTTAATATAGTATTAAAGGTAACTACTTTAAGACTAAGAACGTACACTTCAAGAAAGTAATGATCCAGACTGTTTAATAAGATGTGCAAAATTGCATAGTGTATTTAATGATCAGAAGTTGGGAATTTAAAAATTAGATCTAAAAATTTTAAGTAACTATCTTTAAAAGTGATCTCATATTTTTCCCTTGAGTTAAGATTGCTTCTCTCTGTGACTTGCTTAAAAAATATAAATAAATAAACTGACAGCAATAACAACAACAAAAAAGCTCAAATGATTTCTGCTGAAAAAAGATAATAAATCTGTGATCTGTGCAAAGAAAAAAAAAAGGCCCAGGGAACTTTTAAAAGCTGCTAATTGGGTAATATTTAGCCAGTATTTTACTTATTATTTAATATCACTGAATGGAATCCTTGGCATAACCCTTTCATAATATATATATTATTGGAGAGAAAAAAAAAAGTGATCCTGTGCCTTTAATTTCCCTTTCTGAGAGAGGGAAGGCTGCACACCACTGACAGGCTCACTTGTTCCCGTCTTTAATGTGCAATCTGTTTTCTCCAGCGGAGGGCACTCAGTGTATCACAAACTCAAGCATTAGCACCAACAAGCTCTGAGCATCATCAGTCTCTGGAAAGCCTTCTGAATTAGACAAGGGCTGCCTCTCAGCACAGCTACAAAACACTTTAAACCTGACCAGCTAAATGGATAAACCTAGCCTGCATAGCTTTTAAACTGGGGTCTCATACAGCACAGGAGGCCTACTTGCTTCAAGAACTGAAAATCCAGAGGATGAATTGCTTTATCTGGGAATGGCAAAAGCCAGCACAATAAGGAATGCCAGGTATTCTGAAGATTTTCTTTTTTTTTCCTTTTTTTTTTTTTTTTCACCTCTCTTTTTACAGAGAAGTTGGTTACCTTCGAAATGGGCTGTAGCTTTTTTGCACAGATTGCCAATTACTGCTGATGGGTCTCTGGTGAATTACACAATGGTCCTCAGAGCTTAGAGGCCCTCCCCCTCCCCCCCCCCCGGGGGTCCTTTTCCCTGCCCCCCCCCCCTCCCCCCCCCTGCTGGTTTTTTTTTTCATATATGTATATATATTTTTTGCCTGTCCTCTCCGGGGAAGTTTGTATGGGGCTACTAGCTCACATGCGGGATCAGAATGGTGTGAATGACAGCCGCACTGTGTCATGAAGGTGGTGGTGGTTTCAGCACGAGAGACCAAATAAGAAGAAAGCTGAGAGAGGGGGGAACCGTTTTTGGATGACAAAGGATGGGTAAGTGAACTTTTGTTGTTTCCTTCTTAGCAAAGCTGATCCTCTTGGCTTCCTATTCTCAGTCGTGGCATTAGCTGATAAAAGACGGGGAAACAGGCAAAAAGCAGCAGCCTCTGAGTTTGCCAGTTGACTCAGTATAGTTGCTATTATATTTTTAGATCATTTTCCTTTTAGTAGTTTTTTCTTTTTAAATCTGTAAATGCATAACACGGACTCAAACAGACTCTAGAGAAATATCTTTAAGACTGTCTCTTCTGTATGCGTTTCTACAGCTTGGGAATTGAGCCTGAGATAAATATTGTGTTTGCTTCTATTTCTTGATAATATTAACCACGCTTGTATTTCTGGTCGCGGTCAGGAAGAATGTTAACACTTTACTGTGTGTGTGTAGGGGTGGGGTCGTTACTTTATCAGAGGTCGCTCAAGGGTTTGTTTTATCTTTGAAGCTGTATCCTAAACACAGCTTCCAAATTTCCAGCAGTCATTTGCCAGTCTTATTTTTTCAAGTGTGACTGGCTTTTTTCCCCCCTTTCCCCTGTCTGGAAGAGCTGGAATGTATTTCAATGAGATTGTAACTGGCAAAAGGACAGAGAGCAAGATCGGGTTTCAAATTAAAAAAACAAAACAAAACAAAAACCTGGTTGAGTGAAGGAAGGAGAGCTTTTTAATTAGAGGTTTGGCTGATTGCCTCTTGCTTAAAATATGAATATTTAAGATAAATAAAGAAACTGCAGCACACAGGGTTTTTTCCCCCCCCCCTTACCGCTAAGAAATAATAAATCTACTGTTGACAGAGGAAAGAAGTCCCTTAACATGCTGTGACTTGGAAATGCAGCACAAGTGCCAATACATTGCAACTTTGCAGGTTTTTGGAAGTTAATGGAGGTAGGGGAGGAAAAAAAAAAGTCTGAGAAATTTGAGCAGGTCGGTTTGGAAATGGGGGGTAGTAGTCTATTGCTTCTCTTCTTGTTTTTTCCCCAAATTTGCAAAAGCAACTATGTTAAAAATAACAGCAAAACTAATACTACACAAAATTATTTTTCATTTTATGCAAATATTTAATAAGAATTTGACAATCTTAACTTTGACATGTTCTGTGTTATCAGTAGTTAGGGCTCTGGGCTGATGTATCTATTGCTGGGCAAGAGAGCCACGGTAGGCAGGTCCTCCTGAATGCTGAGAGCATATACGCTTATTAACACGTTGAGAGTACCTCACACTGTTAGTAGTCTTCATACCATGCTTCACTGGTTGCCCATACTAGTCCCAATGCCAGTTGTTCAGAGCTCATGTATTGTTATTCCATTATGCAATAAGGATACAGTTTCAGGCAGGGCAAACTTGGGTTACCTTGACAGCTTACTGAACCTCTTTTGTCAAATCAAAGTCTGTTTGCTCAACTAGGAAAGATGTCCAAGTACAGGGTTTTCTAAGTCACAGTTTTGCCATTACCGGAAGACTCGGTACTCTTCATTTTGGTGCTGATGTTCAACAGAATGACTACCCAAATATTATTGTTATTAAAATGTTGGCGTTAAGTGATAAGACAGGCTGTGTGCTTTTCAGTGTTGATGACTGTATGAACTCCTGAAACTCGGGAAAGATTTTCTTAGTTCCACGGCACTGTGGTGATTTGAAAATCAAGGAAGAAAGAAGGAAACCTGAATAGCAAACATGCAACACTGAAGAAAATAAGACTTCAGATGTTGAATACATTGTTCTTAAATCAACTGTCCCATGACTGCACTAGATGGAATGCCCCTGATATCGGTAAGCTGGCGGTGATTTATATTAATAGCTTTACAATGTGCATTTGTCTTCTTTTTAATATTGTAGGTTTCCGTTTAATTACGCAGCTGAGAGGCATGCGTGTGGTGCTAGTGCTACTTCCTACACTGCTGCTTGTTATGCTCACGGGGGCTCAGAGAGCTTGCCCAAAGAACTGCAGATGTGATGGCAAAATTGTATACTGTGAGTCTCATGCTTTCGCAGATATCCCTGAGAACATTTCTGGAGGGTCACAAGGCTTATCATTAAGGTTCAACAGCATTCAGAAACTCAAATCCAATCAGTTTGCTGGCCTTAACCAGCTTATATGGCTTTATCTTGACCATAATTACATTAGCTCAGTGGATGAAGATGCCTTTCAAGGGATCCGTAGACTGAAAGAATTAATTCTAAGCTCCAACAAAATTACCTATCTGCACAATAAAACATTTCACCCAGTTCCCAATCTCCGCAATCTGGATCTCTCCTACAATAAACTTCAGACATTGCAATCGGAACAATTTAAAGGTCTTCGGAAACTCATCATTTTGCACTTGAGATCTAACTCATTAAAGACTGTGCCGATAAGAGTGTTTCAAGACTGTCGAAATCTTGACTTTCTGGATTTGGGTTATAATCGTCTTCGAAGCTTGTCCCGAAATGCTTTTGCTGGCCTCTTGAAGTTGAAGGAGCTCCACTTGGAGCACAATCAGTTTTCCAAGATCAATTTTGCTCATTTTCCACGTCTCTTCAATCTCCGCTCAATTTACTTACAGTGGAACAGGATTCGTTCCATTAGCCAAGGCTTGACATGGACTTGGAGTTCCTTACACAACTTGGATTTATCAGGGAATGACATCCAAGGAATTGAGCCGGGCACATTTAAATGTCTACCCAATTTGCAAAAATTGAATTTGGATTCCAACAAGCTTACCAACATCTCACAGGAAACTGTCAATGCGTGGATATCATTAATATCCATCACTTTGTCTGGAAATATGTGGGAATGCAGTCGGAGCATCTGTCCTCTATTTTATTGGCTTAAGAATTTCAAAGGAAATAAGGAAAGCACCATGATATGTGCAGGACCTAAGCATATCCAGGGGGAGAAGGTTAGTGATGCAGTGGAAACCTATAATATCTGCTCTGAAGTTCAGGTGGTCAACACAGAAAAATCACACCTGGTACCCCAAACGCCCCAGAAGCCTCTGATTATCCCTAAACCTACATTTTCCAAATCTGACCCCACCCAGCCCACCCTTGAAACACCAAGCCCTTCCCCAGGGTTTCAGATTCCTGGCACAGAGCAAGAGTATGAGCATGTTTCCTTTCACAAAATTATTGCAGGGAGTGTGGCTCTGTTTCTCTCAGTGGCCATGATCCTCTTGGTAATCTATGTGTCTTGGAAACGCTACCCAGCCAGCATGAAACAACTTCAGCAACATTCTCTTATGAAGCGGCGGAGGAAAAAGACCAGAGAGTCTGAAAGACAAATGAATTCCCCTTTACAGGAGTATTATGTGGACTACAAGCCTACAAACTCTGAGACCATGGATATATCCGTTAATGGATCTGGGCCCTGCACATATACCATCTCTGGCTCCAGGGAATGCGAGGTATGAACCATGATCCTCCTAAAAGCATTTCTGCTGCGGGGAAGGAGAGGTAAATGTTTGAAGCCCTAGAGGTGTCTCTAATCACTAGAAAGATTAATGACCCTTTTGCTTTTGGGTTTTTGCTCAGTGTGAAAGGTTACTTAATTAAATTACAACCACCAGGAAATTGACTGTTTTCTTTATTTTTTTTTTAAATGGTTGAAACTTGAAGGAAGTTCATTCAAGGATGAGATTAAGTTGGAATAAAGCACTATGTTAAAACATCTGTTTTTTTTTTTTTTTAACAGTTTGTATACAGAGGTTGGACTTACAAACACACATACACACAAAACTTTTTCATTCTAAAATTAACGTCTGGTTCTTGTTGTTTGACTTCTGTAATGGAGTAAAGAAGGAGAGACCAGCTTAATTTAAAAACAAAGTGATTTTACCAAAATTCCAGGAGGTAATGAAGATTTAAACCAAAGAGCAATTTACCCAAGGGTTGATTTTGTTGTAAATTTTTAGTTATAATTAAAGCATGCAACAGGGATCTCACAGGGATAACTTTCTGTGTTATTTGCCATTTAGTTATTATACCAGCATAGAGAATGTCAGAGGCCTACTGTGTAATTGTATTAGGCTTTTAAAGATGTTTTTCTTTCTTCTTTCCTTCTTTCCTGCCTTCCTTTTTTTTTTTTTTTTTTTTTTTTTTTTTTTTTTTTTTTTTTAATTACTGGATATAGATCACTTTTCATAGGTTTTCTTAAGTGCTGGCTATTTGTATGTAATCAGAATGAAACTTAAGTTCCATGTTTTGGCTATGTCCCTGGTAACTAAAATCAGGTCCTGATATTGTGGATGATTTAGCAATAATATAATGACAGGCATAACAGGGACTGTTTGTCAATGTTGCTGTCATCCCCAACAAAAATCATGTACATTCTTGTGAAACTTATCCAAAACTAAGTGATGCAAATATTTACAAATAAAAAGAGAGAGATTTGAGTCCTGGGTATTTTCCCTTATTGTAACATTAGCTTCAAATGAAGGCATTCCATGTTACCTTATTTTCATTTTCACGAGATTGAAGTTTGGATCCAGTTTCTGATTATTTAATTTTAAAGATTACTTACAGTAACTTGCTTATGCATAGAAAATAGTCACAGATGTCCAACTTGTTGATAAGTAGTACTGGATGCAAATTATTCTTTGCTTGGTAAAGTTGATCAAAAAGTACAAAGATCATGACTGCCAAGGCCTTGTTGCTGGAATAGAGTGGCAAAGAGAGAAAGTAAGTTCTGGCACAATGTTGTCTTAGTATCTAATTTTAGATGATTTGTTGTTCAAAGGAAAGTTTTAATGAGTATTTAATGAGTATTTTCCCCTTTTTATTACTAGTTATAACAGTTGGAACAGATAATTTGCTCTATGATTATATATACCCAAAGTTTCCATAGTTCTAAAGGCAGATGCTGAGGGAAACGTTTTCAGACAAAGCACTGAGTTTGAAATATTCTCCAACTGAGTAGAATTTGGAATACTGAACTATTTTTCACAGTTCATTTTCTCCTTTTTGTGTATGATTGAAAATAAGAATAGTAATCCCAGTAAAACATCCCTGAAAGAAACCTGCCTAAACAATTAACCTTAAAAATTAAGGAGAATAAGATATTTTATATGAGTCCTAACAAGACTTGATGATTTTATTGCAGGCTGACATTTATACAATGTACATGAATATTAGTAAAACAAGTTCATCCTGTTTTATTCTAGATTCTCTTTGTATTTTGAGATCCTCTTAAAGCATAGTAGTACAAAAGAGAAAGGAGAATCCAAGTCCATTCATTCATTTTCTCTGGACTTTTGTAGTAGAGAGGTGATTTTTATTTATTATAATCACCAAGAAAGAAGAAAGATTCTTAAAGAACTAGGACTTGAGTATAGTGATTTCTAAAGCTTTTCCTGAGTTCTTAAATTCCAGAGATTATTCTTTTAAAGACCCTTGACTTTACCATGATTAGAACGAAATAAAAACATGTTTTATTCCATAAAAACATGAGTGTTTCAAATCACATTTTGATACTATGTGTATTAGGTAGAGGGGAGTTTATGGTCATGAAATTGCAGTGTCACTGTTGGAGTTGAATGTGGTGTTAAGACATATTAAATAATGAAGTACATAATTAAGTGTTGTAATGAAGAAAGTTGAAATGGCAACTCTGCTGAAGTAGATCAAACTCTCCGTGCCCTAAAACATGGGAAATGGTAGGTTATACATTTAAGACCATTAACTCACAGGGTCTAATGAAGCTGCATTTGAGTGAATATTAACCTGTTTTCCAACACAAACATATACAAACATTTCAGCCACCACTCCCCCCTTTTGACAGGATAGTCAGTCTACTACAGTTGTAGAAATGAGAACAGTTATAAGAAATGAGAAAAAGCAAATTCTTAGAAAGTGTGGTGAGAACCATAATTTCCCCTTATGTCTTTGTCACTATGGAGTAAAATTTCTCCTGTTGACAAAATTTCTCTACAGAGTAAAGCCAAGAGAGAGGAGTGATTTGTCCAATTCTTTTAGGACTATAGAGGTGTGCCGAGTTGTAGTCTGCTGTTGCTTTTATAAACCTCACATATCAATAGCTTAGAAAAATAAAGAATCAATATATTTACAATACAATTTTGTGAGGTAGTCTTTTTTTTAATTCAGAACACCAAACTCTACCCAATAAAGCCATAAATACTTAACTAGAAAACTTAGCACTAAGTGCCTTGAAAACAAACTGCATTAAATTGAAACTTCCACTTATACAACTGTTATATTTAGTTATTGTGATCTAAATATAGTTCAAATATCCGTTTTGTCTATTTCTTTTAAGAAAATAAAAATATTAAGATCGCTGATTAGAATGGTGTCTGAGTTAACATACAAATATAAAATATAGCATGCAGTTCAATAAGTGAATAACTTTGGCTCTATTCTTTATAAGTTTTAATTTTTGAAAAGTCCACGTGCACATTCTAAGTTAATACATTGAAGAAGGATATTATAATACCTTAGGCAGTAAAACTCTCTTATATCTATAAAAGACGAATAGAGTAGATAGTAGTGAATAATTAATATGATATATGGCACAATTCTAATAGATACATACATCTCAATCATCATACTTTGAGTGGAGCAGTGTGCTTGGTTGAACTGAATCATTTAATTTGTCTCTCCTCAATATGTGCTCTGAAAGGAGTACTTCAAGCCAGAAGGATACAGCTTTGCCTGAAGCTTAGTAAGGTGTTATTAAAAGAGAAAATTGCAAATAGGTACTTTTGAAAATAGTTTGTGGTGCTTTGCATAGCTTTATCTCATTAAAAATATTACAAGAATTATGAAGGTACTTTATTTTGCAAAGCAAAATTTTACTTGATAATTATACAGAACAATTTTGAACACCTGTTTTTTCTAGGATATGGTGTATTAACTGAAATTAGCAAGGACCTTTATAAAACTATTGTGAGTATGGGAGAAGAGAGAACACTTCAAGTTTGTCTTGTGAATTAAAAAAAAATGAAATTGGTAAAACCTTAACATGAATGAATAAATGAAAGTGGTCTCTAAAGAAATTCTCCATTCCAAGTATTTTAAAAGTTAACTAATTGAATATAAAGTTTAATGATCCCATAATGCTAACAGTGCTGCCATTAGGAAAATGAGACTATAGGTGACACTAGATATGTATTTTCCAGATATTTGATATTTTAGTTATAACTCTTCAAAGTCAAGTAAAATATAATGGCTGCAACTGGGCTTACTTTATTTCTTTCACTGCTATGCAGTGGGTGGTATAGACCATTTCTAACAGTTTATATTTATTGAATATATTATGTCAGGTCCAAACTATTGATTTAGGAGGGATTATTAACTTCTTTCTACACTTTAGATATTGACATTTTAAAGGATACTAAGTAAATTTATGAGAACTAAAAAGCATAATATGTTCAAAGAGGATTTCTAAGTGATGGAGACCCAATATCCTTGAGTTTAATTTACACCTTACCAATACAAAACTGTAGAAAATAAACTTCATTTGGGGGCTGACTCCCACTGTGCTATGTCAGAATGTTATAATTGAAACTTTACTTTGTAAATCCACTTAAATTATATCTATGTGTGTATGTGTGTGTGTGTGTGTGTATGTGTTTGCATATATGCATGTGTATGTGTTCCTGTACAGAGAGACAGAATATATATTTCCATTAAAATTCTTCTGTATTTTGGACATTTGAAAGAAACTTGGGTTCTAGTTGTCAGAATTTGTTAGGAACATACTTCTTAAGGTAAATGTTTAAAACTCTTTAAAATTGTAGGTATCTCCTGTCTAGATACCGTCTTTCTCAATGTTCTCTTTCTTTCAAAAAGCAGAATTTAAACTACACATTGCCAGTTTTGGTGTGACTTTGGGCTCGTCACTAGTTTCTCTGTGACCCATCACTAAATGAGTATATGCAATGAGCACAATATATCCCAATTCAAAGCTTTGCTCAGGCTAGTAAACTTTGTAAACTCTGTGGGCATTCCCAGGACTGCAAAAGCAAGATGGGATCTAGAGGAAAAGTGAGCTATTGGTATTCATTGTCAATGAGAATTGAAAGAAATTCTGAGTTAAAAAAAAAAACAAAAAAACAAACGGCATGCTCAGGTGAGGAACATTATAATTTCCTTTATGCTTGAGGAGAACATATGTAACATGCATGCATGGGTACACATAACATGCATGCAAGCACACATGCAGATTTATGTATCTTTCAAATTCTGGCAAGTAACTGGTTATTTTGAAAGCATTTAAATATGACTGTTTATTAAAAATATCTGTTGTCTGAATTTAATTCAATTAAAATCAACGTGAAAAGAGTTTTTAGTAGAATCTGCAAATGGCAATGGTGAGGAATGACAGCTTCCAAAAATGCCTGCCATGATTAATTTAGGAAAGATTTTAAACTGAGGATAAAGGGTCCAATTA